GGGCATATTTTTCAAGCTCGCCTGGTGTGGATATAGACTCAGAGTAACACCACAAATATCATATTCACCTGAGTACACTACACCAACACAGAAAAAAAAAAAAAAAATATTCATATGGCCTTAATACTGTAAAGGTCTTAAATGGGGGCAGTTTTGTAGCAAAAGAAGGCAAAACAACAAAAACGTCATTTCTGTGGCAATTCACCCTAAATAATTTAAAACAAACATCAAAATTTACCTCCTCATGGGGGTAGGGTTGGGGTACGTTTTGTTCTGATTACGTATCGGTAGGCTTACCTAGGATGCTTTGCGCGCTTAGTTTTCTCTTTTCTAAAAACCTCGTGTACATTATGAAAGCGAGTGGTCAGGTAATAAAATTGCCTATTTTCTTGCCATTTTGTAAGCTTGTTTTAGTTTCCCAATGTAAAATATGAAAATCGAACCATTTTTCTGTCGGTTAGAGCTTGTCTCGGCCCGAAATTAAATGTTTTTCATGGGGCTTTTAACAAACAAATCTGACCGATTTTCAAACATGGCGGCCGTTTTTGGGCTAAATTGTGTTGTATACCTTCGCTAAAGTGCAGAGAAAATTGTGCTCTTTTGTGTGATCGAGCCGTAGTACTGGTTTGGCCGATTTTGTTTAGAAAAGTAAAAATTGCACTGAAAATCTGAAATATAAAATCATTCAATAACCAAGCCTTTCCAATAGTTTCATATATAAAATAGTTGATAAATTTATACCAGTTTACTTTTGGTCAAGACCAACTTGTGTGGTTTGTTTTCACAGATATGTTAGACAAGGTATCGTAATATATCAGTAATGATTTTACTTTGTCTAACACAAGACGGTTTTACTCGTCAAGGGGAGAATTTTGTGCACCAATGGGTTGACAGGGGTACATGTTTGACAATGAACTTAGGCACAATCTAAGGTAAGTTAATCACTTGCTCAGAGCCTAAAATAACGTTCAAATATTTTGTGCGAATATCAATAGTATATTTTTTGTTACTTAGGACTACTTTTTAAGAAGTTGCTTTTTGGAAATTTTGAGAAAAATTTTGAAAATAAACTTTCCAAACTGGTATGGGTATCTCCCACAAATATTGATGCTTTACAAATTTCTAATAAAGGTACCTTTTTGTTCACTTTTATAGTTGAAACAGTACAAGGTCGTTGGGCGACATCTCCCAACGGCAAAGCTGCCCAACCCACCATTGTATCGTATGAACATCTTTGCACCAGATGAAGTGACTGCAAAGTCCAGATTTTGGTACTTCATGGCGAAGTTAAAAAAAGTAAAGAAAAGTAACGGAGAGGTTCTGTCTATCAGTGAGGTATTGTTCTACCAAAAATGAAGTTTTGTTGTTTGCATCAAAAGATAAAACAACTTAGGCCATATAAAAAGAAAAAAATTGTTAGCGTCCTTAGCTTTTGCCAAAAAGTGGGTGGGCGGGCGCTTTTAATTTTTACTAATTTTTAACGCCTTGGTTTTACTCACTGTTAGGTCCGAAACTGGATTTTCTTGCGCAGTACATATATTTTTTTATATATTTCAAAATATAATTCATACCGTCATATTCGCACGCAATTTCGCAAATTACTAACACAATTGACTGCAGTCAACAGAAATACTACATATATTAGAGCCTGTTGATCAATAAAAGTCGGGTTTTTTAAAAATAAAAAAAAATCCTGAGCTGGGCCTTTTTTGTGGGCGGGTGGGGACGCTAACCAACTATTTTTTTTATGTGGCCTTATTCTAGTGTGAGGCAGTTGATTGACAAACCAGAAAAACCCAATGTTGCTTCAGATAGGGAAAAGTACAAAACTCTTACAAAATGGCACCATCAAAATCACAGTGCTAGTTCAACATTTTCTGATAGGCTCGGGTTGTTTACCGTTTTGTTTTTTTCGGTGTTATTTTCAAACCGGTTTTTACGGTTTAGCTTTTACAAAACAAAGTGGCTATTCGTACTGGGATATGGCACCTGATTCTTACATTACATAAAGTAGCAATATAAAATAGTTTTTTGCAATAGGTTTTAGCGAGCTTGTCGCTAGCGTAATCGGCAAAGGCGTTGCGTGTGTGCAAAGTGAAACGAGGTCGGGTCCGGGTTTAATTTTAGCCGTCGGTTTTCTGTTGACTTAGAAATTTTTCTTAAAATATTTTTAATTTCCCCCCCACTTTTTTAACCCTGAAATAGTTTATTAGACCTTTATTGGTTAGGGTTAGAGAAGGGATTGGAGTCAGGTTTATCTTAAATATTACGACTGCAGTACGAATAGCAAATCAAACTCGGCGTACTGTTCCAGTACGAATAGTCATGGCGTTTACAAAAACTGGAAAACCGTCATTACGGAATTGTTTGCTGTCATCGCACAAAACTCGATCTTAATTCTCAAAACATGACACTAATTAATTAAACTCAATTATATGACACTAGATACAAATTATATTCTTTTCCTGTAAAGTCGGTAAGAAATAAAGAGGTATAAATTTTCAAATGCGTTCTTGACCCTTTTATTTTAAAACTGCAGTCATTTTGGGTTACCTTTACACAATTATGCATTTTGTCGTGTACCGTTTGTTTGCTTATGTAAAAAAATACATACCACAATTCCTCCTCATTCAGTTGAAGTAAAAAAGGGAAAAAACAGTTTTACCAGTTTAGAATCAGACGGTTTTTCGCGCTCAAGCCTATTTTCTGATGAAACTTTAAAACCATGACAAAATAGCACACCTGATTGGCGGTACTACACATTGGTACTGTTGTTTTTAAAACTAAAGTCTTGAATGTGTACTTCAGATGGTTCTCAGACGGTTTTCAGTTTTTACCTTGAAAGTGAAACTTCAAATATTTTGTAGTGCTTTTTTGATGTTTCATTTAGATCAGCCATTCAGTATCAGATATTGAAATGTTCTTGACAAACATGGCGTTGGCAATGTTCCTATCCGTCATGATTTATCATTTATATTATATAGCAATTTGACAAGAGTCCACTGAAGATCAAGAATTTTGGTATATGGTTGAGGTATGACTCACGAAGTGGGTCACATAATATGTATCGCGAGTACCGTGCCATGTCGGTCACGGAGGCTGTCACGTCGTGTTGTAAGTTTCTCGATAATTTATGTTCAAAATAGAATAAAGCAGATCTAAACACTTCTGCCGACTATTTTCAACAACAATGCTTGCCAAGCAAATCATATTTCATGTAATATAACTATCATCATAAAATTTGCAATGTGATTTCTAACTGTAAAAATTTTTGTGTGTATCTCATTAAGTACAAAAAAAACGGTAGTCGCTCCAAAAACTGTAAACATTAAAAAGATTTCAAAAATGTAGAATGAACTCTTTTCAAAATGACAAGCACATGACTGTTATGTGTTAGGTTTGAAAATTATTCAAATCGTTAAATTTTTCCCTTTTCATTGAGTAGATGTTTGACTGGGTAGCTAAAAATTTAGAGCCATGTTCTTTTTTAAAAAGTTGCACATCATTTTTTCTCAACTAATTCAAACCCTGTCTACATGAATTTTCTTTTAGACCGTGATATGGCAGCAAGACACAGGGCAAGGTCAACTGTCATTCAAATATTGAAAGTTGAAGTTATCCCTGCAGCAAAGTGCCGCAGGCCCCACATGAAGCAGTTATTCGTAAGTACAGAGTTAGACTTGGATCAAGTCCGTCTCTCTAGAGTCCGAGTCACGAAACGACGAGATTGAGCGCGCCTCAAAGCAGAGGGGGAGAAACGGACTTGGCTCATCTGCAATGTTTCGAATCAGATTTATTATTTGGGTGGGAATTATGTTAATAGACAGGTGTTATTAATTTAGCTGTTTTATTACAAATACAGAAACCCGCAAGTGTCAGGGCAAAATTATTAAAATACCAGTCGCGATTGAAACAAAATAGTCTAGCATTAGTCTGGTATTATTTTGTTAATACCCAATTAATTAGTATTTTGTGATTGCTAATCTTTGATTATTCAAACTTGGAATATTGCAAGTATAGGGCAGAGTTGCATACCTTATTTAGTGGTATCAACCTACTTTGAGTACTTGCTAGAGTAAATATGCAGCATGTCTGCCGCTTAGACCTTTGTTGTTTGGTCTAAGTTTTGTATTTGTTGCAAATAGTTATTCACTTAGTGCATAAATAATGGCACCTTATACTTAAACATGCGGTACAGTCCGATATGCGCATGTGTACAAAGGAGCCCTCTTTTTATTTACAAACAGTTTATTTAGGTTTTTATTTCATTTTATGTTCTTGTAAAGCTTGATTGTTGTCTGTTAATATAATTCATTCTACTCTAGAATCATGAAAATATAAATACTTGTCGAATAAAATTCAATATTTTGCATACTGAAATGTAAACAAAAAAGCCTTTGTTTACATACGGACTGTACCGCATCTTTAAACAGTGTGTCGCTTATTTTGCAGTTGTGGTTTGTGTGTAACTCACTGATCGTTTTCCAACAATTATTTATTTTAGAATTCAAAGATCCGCTTCCCTCTTCCACACAGAGTCATGAAATCACAGTTTAAATCAAAATTTGTTGCAAAGAGACCAAACACATTCTACTAAATTCTAAAGTAGATATGAAATAAAATATCTTCAAACAAGTGGTCAATTTGTAATTGTTTTGCATCACAGTATGCAGTAAAGTAAATTAGTAAAATTGTCTGGTATTAAATTAAACAGACTAAAATAATAAAATAGGTGCCTCAGGCTGCATTGCCGTTTAAATTTATTGAACGGTTAAGAAATTAAATACAAACGAAGTCATTCTCCTAACAAACAGGGCCACCGAGCGAATTTGTGGGGCCCAGGGCAAATCTTTCCTGGGGGGGGGTTGACATCATTTTGTAACTGTAAGGGGCCCTCACTTGCAAAAATGCTCTGACCAATTTAATAGAACCTACTCAATTTTAGGCTCTCGCTCTCAAGTTGCCCCCCCCCCCTTATTAAGGTGGGGCCTGGGGCAATTTGCCCCCCTCTTGCAGGTCCTGCTAACAAAAGCATCCTGCTATGAAATCACAAAAAGCATACACAGGAATATTTTATTTCAATATTGTTATCAATACTATTCATTTTGGCACAAAATGTCTGTATAAAAGTCCCACAGGAATCCTAAAGCAGCTAGAAAAATTATATTCGTTTCCATGGTGTTTTCTTTTGGGGAGTTTCGAAAGTAATGTTTACAACATGAGTGGCCGTGTTGTATCGGATATACAGAGCAATGAAAGGACAATGGAGTAAATGAGTGTCACTAAAAAGCACTAAAGAATAAAGAATGCATCAGTAAATGTATTAGGACATCAGAAGGGGGTAGGGGGGTTAGCTTCCTATTTCCTTCTTGGGGGTGGTATGGATATTTTTTGGAATGACCCATTGGAATGTTGGAATTTAAGTGAAATATGGAATATTAATTCAATGATTGAACATTTTTAAAAAATGATTTTATTTTTAAAATATTAAATATGTGGAATATTTAGTATGATTAAATATCCCATATTTAGTATGATTAAATATGGAATATTTAAATTCGTTCAGGAAACTGGGAACAAGTTCATGTCGTCGGCGTCTTTCAAGTATCTTTCAAATAATCAAATCGTAAATATTTGCAGTTTTCGAGTATTGTAATTTTGAAATTCCTTAGGAAAAATGAATCGAAACGTGAATTATGCAGTTTTTAAAGAACCGAGGGCTTTCATAAAGATTCTGGAAATAGTAAGCTTTCTTTTTTGTTGTAATTTTTGCCAATTTAATACGTAGCATGCGTGACAAATTATAGTTTATATATGACTATGCGGATATTAAAAGTAAACATCCCTGTACAGAATTCTTGCTAAAATGTGTATGTATCTATATTTTTATTGCGGAAAGCCAGGTGCTTAGGTTGGTATTGAAGTGATTTGGTCAAAGAGAATGATATTATGATTATATGTAATTTTGAAGACCTCTTAATATAACATTTTGTAAATAATGCTAAATATGGCTGACATCTGTTATTGAAAATGAAAGGACTATTTTACATTATTACTCGGGCTGCCATTGTGAAAAGTTTGTATCGTGCAACTGAGATATCTGCAGTGTCCGACAAATTGCTTACTTATGTATACCAGAGGTAGAGAGGTACGCCAATATTACAGTCTGGTACTTTTTTAGCCAGTACCATGTTGGATGCGTCTTTCAGTTGTATCAAATTTTCTTTCTCCTAAATCTCTTTAGGGTATAGCAATTTTTGCATTTTCAACAACAGCTGGTTACTACAGTGAATTCAAAGTCAGTTCAAGTCTTCGGCCGGGAAAAGAGTGCATTGTCAATTCAACTGGTGTAAAACATGACGATATATTATACAAGGTTGAAGGGAAATTTGAATATCCGTTTGACGATGACATGGTTTATACATTTTATGGTAGTCACACTGGTAAAATTATACATAATTGCACAAATGTCACGAAGCCTGTCGATAAGGCGGCTTTGGATGTTGCAGCAAAGCACAAAAGTGAAGCACAGTTTTTTGTATTTACTGGTGTTTTGTCATTCTTGTACTGCTTGTTTGCATGCCTCTACTATGCCATACTGGAAAATCCTTCAGAGAACATGTATTCTACCGATGTTGGAAGATTTTCCTGGGTTGTTGTGGTAAGTATTTACAGTTTAATTGTTATTACAGATTTACAGTAAACACCTTTGGGACCTCACAAATTTGTCTCTGCTAAAAGGAGGTGTTTGCTTACCGGTAAAGGAAACCGGTAGTCAAATTAAGAGCATGGACAGATTTTCAGATTTTGCTTTGGGAGGGTGCCGAAAATTTTTTGGGCGGAGTTGAGCGATTGGATGTGTACCACAGCTGAACAAACTGCGGCAGAGGTTTGGGGCACAGTTGCAAAAGAAATTTTGAGATTTTTGGTCTTATTTATTTCAAATTGCTTTTAGTCATACTGTACTTAGCTCAAAATCTGTCTTTTATTTTATCACAAAAAATATTACAAACAAAAAAATCGGATCGGATTGATAAAGTTGTTTCGTAGTCGGATCGGATTTGATATCCGAAATAAAATGAATTAATTATCCACGCATTATCGCAAAAATTAATTATCCATGCATTATCGCAAAAATTAATTATCCATGCATTTATCAAATATTATTGCTGCATTATTCGTTTGATATTTCAATTGGACGTCACTTTGTCAGCTTCTTAACATGTATTTCTTGCTTTTATATTTATTTGGTTAAATATTTCAACCTGAATGAGAAATTTATTTTATTAAATTAAAGAATTAGAACTTTGGATTGGATTGGACTTCTTTTTCAAAACTTGGATTGGATTAGACAATTTTGGATCCATCCGATCCCAGGGGCGGATTCAGACAGGTTTGACAGGTTTATATATACCTGTGAGATTTTCCAAAGAGAGAAAAACCTTCCATGTATATAACTAATTTAAAGAATATTCTGTTTCATAAAATTGATGTTGTCTAATCTATTATGCCACTTAAACACTGTTATTGAAATTTGATTATGGATTACCGAGCGTATAAGGACTTATCGCCCTGGTTTCCTCTTACAAAATTTGGAAATACTAGACTAACTGACCTGCTAATATATCGTTGTGGGTCGTAAACATCGCATGAATCACACATAACTGCCCACAATTATGAGTAAACCGGTGGTCAGAGTTTTCTCCATGAGAGTAAACCGGTTGATACGCCATTAGATTGGCTAAACGGCTGCGCTCCGCCGGATGTAAACCGGTCATAAACCTGTGAGTCGAGCAGCATTTAGAGAAAACTGGGTATGAAAGTTAACAGAACTCGAGGACGCGCGAAATATGTTTATAATTTTGCATGACTGAATCAATGCGTTGGCGATAGAAGCATTTACATGGATTTCTTGTTCATTTTGAAGGTTTGTTTTTTAAAAGTATATCTAGTCTAAAGTTATAACTGTAAGCTATTTCTACTTACTGTATAGTAAATATTGATTCATCAACAAGCGTATCGATGTTTATACGTGTAACTACACAGTACACAGTCTATGTATGTATAATCTTGTGTGACAGAATCATTGCGTTGGCGAGAGAGAATCGGGAAATGATTGTGATTATTTGTGAAGCTTTATTCACGCTCTTGCAGTTTGGTTTCTAGTTCATTGTTAAAGTTGGTTTGAAAGCATATAGATCTAAAATTACAACTATGTTTATATTAAAAGCATCTCTACTTGTTGTACTTATAATAAATATCGATGCATCAGCAATTCAGTTGCCAATCCTATATTTTCATCACTAGCTAATAGGTTTCCGAAAAGGTTCAATTCATTGTTTGAGCTGCGTGTTAGTCCAAAATTCTCTTAAAAAGATATATTTTCTAATCATTAAATTCATTTAAAAAGTGACGCCAGAATGCAGGAAATGCTGTTTCAGAGGCCCAAATTTTAAAAATTTCCTGGGGGAGCATGCCCCCGGACTGCCCTAGTGGTTGTGTGGACCTAGTAAACCGGTCACCAAAAACGCTGGATCCGCCCCTGGATCCGATCCAAAACATCCGATCCGATGCACACCTCTAGTAACCAGTATCCGAGTCACCATACTGTACTTGGATTCTCAGATGGGATACTACAACTTTGAATGTGGTGTCCCAGTAGAGTGCTGACAAAAATTTTGAATTTCAGACCTAAATAATCTCTTTAGTTGTATAACTAACTGATGACCTCCAAATCTCTACAGGATTTTCTCATGAGTGTGTTGATAACCATATTCTGGTTTGCCGGCTCGGCAGCCTGGGCTGCTGGATTACCTGGACTCAAAGATGATACAGGACCAGATACCTTTATTGATAAAAATCCCATTCTGTGTCAGGGCATTCTATTATGTGATGTCGACAAGGAACCCAACTATGCCACCTTGAAAGTCTCAATAGTAAGCCAGTTTTTATACTATTTTGCTTGAGCATGTGATGATCTTAAGCAGGGTGCGATAATTCGCGTACCAATGTACCGGAGGTATGCCAAATTTATGGTTTGGTACTTCTTTATTTTTAGGCATGAAGTACCACATAGGTACGCGGAAATTTGCTATTTGCGTACTTACATTTTCCATCTAGCAATAACTAGCAAACCTGGCAAAGTATTCAAAACCGTGAAGAACTTTAGCTGTACATGTAAATTCCACGCATCCGACATATTTTGGGATGAAAAAAGCCAAAAGATTATCTTTGCGCCTGATCAAAAAATTTTAAATTTACCACCATCGTCCGACTGAAAAAAATTATTATTCAGTATTATGTTGTACAAATACCATAATTAAAGATTCATTTGTACAAAATTACCCATACATTTTTTGCTTTTGGACCAGTAAACTATAGGTAGGTATAAAGACACATGACTCGGAAGTAGGGGTGCACCGGAACCAGTTTTTTAAGTTCCGGCCGGAACCGGATCCGACCGGAACTGGAAAAAAGTTCCGGCCGGAAGTTCCGGCCGGAAACGGAACTAATTTATTAAGCCATATATAGTCGTATGTTACTTTGTCCGCTGCCAGACAGGCAAACACTTCAAGTCATAAAGGAGAGAGCTCGCAAATGTTAGAATAAAAAGATTGACAAGCGTTAAACGTCATAATGAAGTGTTAATAGTGTGCATTTCCCTTGCGTAGTCCAAATTTCTTCCTACTGTGACCTTTTGTTAGACACAAAAACGTTTGATATTCTATCTCTCTGAAAACAACAGAGTTCCGGTTCCGGCCATGCTTTTTTTACTAGTTCCGGCCGGAACCGGAACTCGGGGTTCCGGCCGGAACAAACCGGCCGGAACCGGGTTCCGGTGCACCCCCACTCGGAAGTAGTCTTAGGTACGTAAGACTCTTAAGTTTGTACCAGATCAGGTACGCGGCAAAAGTTGTTGGAGTACCAGTCAGGTATGGCTAAAAATATTGAATTATCGCACCCTGTCTTAAGAGTAAGAGTAAGAACAAGCTTACGTGTGTACCCAATTTGCTATTTATTATATATTGCACACGTAAAAACACAAGTTGTTACAAATCTGCAAACAAGTTATATACGGTACAGTAAACAGGTTGTTGTCAAGCCAATATCAGTAAGTGTTTGCACAGCTTGTTACCGGTTGTTGTGACCAGGGACGTAGCCAGGGGGAGTCGCGGCTCCCCCCCCCCCCCTTTTGGAAATATTTATTGGCTAAATATATGTACCGGTACTTACTTCAACATTAATTAAAGTAAAATTGATTCTCGACACAATGACATGCCTCAAAATCAAAGTAGAGTGTCCACGACGAGTTTGTCAAAGATCAGTGTGTCGAGAAAACCAAGATGTTTCAGATGTTGACGATTCTACTCACGGACTTGATTATTTCCGTATAGCAGTGGATATCCCATTTTTGAATACAATTCTTGAGCATTTGCGATTTCGATTTAATGAGAAAACGACGTTTGCTGCAGTGACGCTTTTTCTGGGAAAATCATGCAATTCAGGTAACTTATAGGCCCAGAGAAAGTAAATTAACAAAAATAATTGTGAATTTGGTAAAGAATGAGTTTAATTTTACAAAAATGTTCTAAAATCTTTGGAATTTAGGAAAATTTTTTAACTTAACGGAAAATTTTGGTATGTCCGGAAAATATTTTTGACCCCTAAAATGGTACACTGACAGAAATTTTTTTGGCGACGGGGGGGAGCTCTATAGATGTGCCCTTGGTGTGTGTCTGCCCCCCTTTGCATTATTATCGTTCCGGCGTCTCTGACTACTATACCTTTAGCCTGGCCTCATGGCTCCCCCCCCCCTTTTTCAGGTCTGGCTACGTCCCTGGTTGTGACAAGTCTGGAACAAGTTGTTAACACCTTGCAGGGATATTTTCAAGCATTTTAGTTCACTACCGTTTTCCAGAAGAAGATTGAGTTTCTTTTTGGGGGGAGGGAGGACGTCAAAATATTTTGTGGCCAAGGAGCGCACATTCCAAAATATTTTGGAGGATGTAAAATAAACGACTTTTACATGTTTACATGTTGGAAAGGGGAGTTCCTCAAAGCGCCACATGCACCATGGTTGGCGCCGAGCGGAAAAATTTTGAAACTTTGAAGTCTCTAGATCATCGGAAATGGCATTTTCAGACTTTAGTTTGGCCATCAAGTGGCTGTGGAGCAAAGAAAGGAAGTTGATTCAGGCAGTACAGTGTATAATGGCAATTAGCAATTCTGTAACCTTCCCTATTATTTTTTAGACACTGTCCAAAAAATAAGTTTTCAACAGCTTTTTGAACAAAATTGTATAGAAAAACAGGTTTTTAATGGAACATTTAGTTACATTAAAAAATCAAATTGTGAAAAAAATCATTGTGGGGGAAGATTGAGTTTCAAAACTCAATTGAAGATTGAGTATTTACTACCGTAAAAAAAAAATTAATATTTTCAAAAAACTTTTAAAAAATTAGGGTTAGTGATTAGGTTTGAGGTTAGTGTTCGGTGCCGCGAATTTATTTATTTTATGACAAACCCGAAATGTGCCGCGGATCTGTCATGGTGTTGAGTTCGGGCGTGTTTGGGAATTTGCTCGTGTGATGAATTCGGGTGGGTGGAGCTCAATGCTGCCATTTCAAAGTATCGTTTCTATCACTAAATTCTTAAGCATCATTAATCTTAGTTTGTTTTTTGAGTTGATGGCATATGTTTATTTATGACTGTAGTTATGTATTGTATTCTATATGTATTGCATGTTTCCTGTTGTATCTTTAATCGGAGGAATGCCTCGCATGGGACCTCGAGTCCCGTTCGCACTCCTACCGTTTGTTCACTATCCAATAAAGTATTTAAAACTAAAAACCTTATACCGGTAAGAGAAAAATGCTTGAAAATATCCCCGACCTTGGTGCAAGGTTGATGATGGTAACAGACTTGCTTGTTCCTAGTTGTTGACAAGTCTGGAACAACTTGTTATCAAATGTCAATCTTCTAATAAGGTTGATGAGGCCAACAGACTGGCAACAAGTTGTTCCAACAAGTCTGATATTGGCTGCACATAACAAGTTGATGACGACGAGCTAATATAGCAACTTGTTATGAACAGCCGTATTTGAAAAAGTTTGGTCGCAAAATGTTGTAAAATGCGGAAAATATAGCCTGCAAAATATTCAAATTTTGTATTAATTTGTATCACGTGCGGGAAAATGCACGGATGCACACCAACCTCAAGCCTGGGAACGAGGTTGCACCACTGGATGCACCAGATCTGGGCCGAAAGTGGTGCATTTTCCCGCGCGTAATACAAATTAATACAAAATTTGCAAATTTCGTAGGGCTATATTTTCCTCATTTTACAACATTTCGCAGCAAAACTTTGCAATTTTACTCATTTTAACGCTCTTTCCAACTGCGGTGATGGATTTTGTTCTTCTTGCCTAGATCATAATTTAGTCTATAGGTGGAGTCGTCCATTTGTTACTTATTATATACTGTACTGCACACGTAAAAATACAAGTTGTTGCACTATCTGCTATCTGCAAACAAGTTATATGACAAGATTGTTGTGACAAGTCTGGAACAAGTTGTTGTCAATCTTCTAATGACGGTTGATGAGGCCAACAGACTATAGCAATTTGTTATGAAAAGCTGTATTGCAACAACTTCCAAGCAGTGCGAACAATCTAATGTTGTTACAGCGTTGTTCAGTTGTGATGTGTTGCTGTAACAACTGGGAACAGGTTCTTCCGGCAAGGCTGAATTTTGGTGGAAATAGTGGGGGAGGTGGAAACACATTGGGGGAGGTGCTGCAGTCTAGTTCACGACCACCATGGAAAGTTAGGGCTTAGAACGGGCCAAAGTCAACGAAGTGACGTATGCATGTAGTGTACATATGTATCAGTGTATTAATGAATTATGACTGTACAACTCATCTAATTTTGCCCTTCATTACAATTACTATAAAATTTCTTTCAAAACATCGCATGAAAAGGGTACTTGGCACATGGAGATGGATGGCTATCACTGTTTCAATTTTACAGAAAAATGTTTTAACGAAGTGTAGACCCTAACGCCTGTATTCTAAAAGCTCACTCACACCCAATGAGTGGAGGTTCAATCTGAGCTGTTCTTGACTGTCAGTGCTGTTTTTGAATAGCTGGAGGGTAAGTAATCACATAGTAAGATATGACACTAGCCCTCCAGATATTCAAAAACAGCAGTGACACTCGAGAGAACCTCAGATTGAACTTCCACTCACTGAGTGTGAGTGAGCTTTTAGAATACGGGCGTAAGAAACCAAATTTTCACTTTGATTTATCGTTGAAATTTTCCCAAGTGGAGGTGCATGTCTTTTCAGGGGAGGTGCAAAAATTCTCAGGGGAGATGCAAAACAATTTCTTGGGAGGTACGCACCTCCCCACAACTCGTTCATTTTTACGTACCTATTGGCTATACTTTTTATACTTTGGACAAAAGTAATGGAATGCGGAATTTGTGAAAACCCACGGTATTTAAATTGTTACAGACAATTAAACAAAGTTGGTGCAATAATTAACCTGCTTTTCATATTTCAGATTCTTGGTTTTCTTAATTTATTTGTGTGGCTGGGAAATCTGTGGTTTTTGTTCAAAGAAACTCCCTGGCATAATCCCCAACGAGATGAATTCCAGAGTGAGTAGCGAAACTATATTCTACTCTTCGCCTGTACAAACTATGAAATATTCAATATCAGATTCTGTAGACCAACCACTTGGCCACCCGCAGATGAATCTATATGTATCAACTTTAATGACTGCCTTTTTTGGTGTAAATCTTAGTTCTTTAAACTTCCCTCCCCCCTCAGGGTTCTTTTCAGGGATTTTTTAGGGCCGTAAAACGGCCCCAAAAACTCAATCTTGAATTGAGTTTTGAAACTCAAATCGATATTTTCCATTATTTTCGTTTTTGTAACTGTCACCTTCTTCATTTTTCCAGACGAGTCAGTTCAGTAAAACTTCCTGGTGGACGTTTCGTGAGGACAATATTATAGATCTATTTATAATATTAGAAAAAGCTAGCTGGTATATTAAACTTTTGTTGTTGTGACGTGACGTGACGTGACGTGAAGCGAAGCATATGGAAAGCATTTCGTATTTGGAAAATTTTGGAAATGGATCTCTTATAAGTTCCTTGGCAATAAATGTAGTAAATTTGTTTTGTGGAAAACATCACGTTTATTATGATAATTAGGTACGTCCTGACTCGTACCCAGTCCTTTAATGAAGCAGACCTGGAAATATTATAATTCCAGCATTTCATAGATCCTACGCTAAGGGCAAATTATTTCTTTGAAAACACAGTTTAAACACCTTGCAATTTTTGCTGCGATTTCTGGTGGGAGTTACTTCTTCTGATGCATGTGAACGAGTAATATATGTAGTAGTATATGTAATAATAATTGTAGTATATGTTATGAATGCTCTGAGTATATGTCTCACTGATGTGGAAGAAGTTACAGTAAAACCCCGCATAAAAGAACCAGTGAATTTTGACTTCAGGCTGAAGTGGTGCTTATATAACGGGTACTTTGAAAGAAATCAGGCTGAAGCGATTCTTACTGGTTCTTATTTCCAGTCAAAAACAATTGTTCCTGGTTTAGAGTTTTAAACCTCTTATTGTATAAAATGAAACCAGTAAATGAACTGTAATTTAATTATTTTGATAAAATAAATGCATGCATGATGTAGTTGAAAGATATAATTCCTGCTAGCAAGATTACAGTATTTTGTTCTCTTCCTAGTACCTGCTTACTAATTCAGCTAAAAGGTTTTTTAAGAACCAGCTTCATTTGTCAGCCTGAAGTGGTTCTTGTATTTTGGGTGCTTAATTGCCCAAATTTCAGGCTGGTGGTTCTTAACCCACTGGTTATTTTATGTGTGGTTTTACAGTATTTCGCTGACCTCAGAATGACATTTCGTCAAAACTTTTTTCTTCAAGATTGGTTTAGAAACAAACTTGGAGTAGGGTTAGGGTTAGTGTTGGGGTTAGGATCAGGGTTAGAGTTGGTGCTTGGAATAGGGTTAGTGATAGTAAAACCGTTGCTTTGTTATGTTTTGTCACTCTGAGGCCAGCGAAATAACCTCTTCCCACTGATGTATTAACATTCATAACTCATCCACTCGTTCACATCTTTCAGAAGACGAAGATCGCACCTAATATCGGGCCTTTAGGAAAACGGGAAATCATACAGCATCACAAAAGGAAATCATGCTACCTCGCAAACCTCGACCCCTGCTGTTTATTTTTAATTTTTTTATTTATATGAGTTTGCCATTACGATACATTACAAGTCACGAAACAATACATATATTCCACGGTTATACAAGTTTATACCATGTGTTCTTGTAATTTATTTAAAATGACGATTGGATACGGGTTTGCGGCAGCCTCAATTTTTATAACAATATCGCTTTCACTGATGAAGATCCTGGCTTTGGGATTTTTGGCTTCGAAAAATCTGCGAAATGAAAAAACCCTGGTGACTGGTGTTTTCCACAAATTTAATTAATAGTTTTTTATGACAAGAATATGAGAACATTTAACATTCTGGTTTAATTATTAATAAATATTTTGTTGGTCATCCTACTTTTTTTCTCGTGAAATAAAAGAATTCAGAGAAATCTGTAACTATGTCAATAGTTTGTATAGCCTCTTACCCTAAAATAACCCTAAATGTACTTATAATATTCTAAAATAACCTATACTTTCCGATACTTATCCTTCGCAAATTTCCGGAACCTTGTAAAGATATCACTCCAGTTGTATACGAAGTTCACCAACACGACGTCATGGTCATAAATATCACTCCAGTCATAAACACGAAGATCATCGCTCTAAATGACGTCATTACGTTCTTTCAATATCGAATGATCGTATTTTGAAAGACAAAATATTCTGAATGCCGAACTAATAACTTCTGCAAGAAAATGCCACTTCGAACGAACTTCAGTCGATTCAAGGAGCCTCGTGGGTTTATAAAAGTTATACAATTTGTAAGTATTGTTAAAATGCGTGCAAGAAACGGCAGATCAAAAATTAACAGGCGATGTTTGAGCGCCATTTTCGCATTTTGTATATGCAGTATGTACATAGTGACTTGTAATTACGAAACAGCCGACACGCCTATGTTGAAATAAACACTGTCCCCTTTGAATTTTGACCCCCGATATAGTGTACCAGTGTCCTGTAGTATTTCTGGAATTAATTTTGTAGAGCTGTTATGATTTTTATATTTTTCTTGTCTTTAGAAACTAGTAAAATTTAATTAAAAATTATATGGGGGAAATTCAGAAATAATTTGTAGTTTATATGATGTATCATAAATATTTTATATAGTATATGCTGAAAAATTGTAATTAAAATTATTTTGTATGCTTTAAATTGCAGTTCTTTGCTGGGGAAAAAAGATTTTCTCATAACTTAGTGTTCTCATAGTTTCTCAGTTGTTGTGAATACAATATTAGCAGTGATATATTAGGCTATGAGAATTTGCAAAGAGTGCCCACTTACATAAGAGCCCCCTTGTATTTATAGTCGAAAATCCTCTTTGAAACTCATTAAAATTTGAGATATAATCTTAAACAGTTTGTGTCAGTGTAGTGACTGCAGATTGAGAATGATTATAAACCTAATGTTAGGTGCGCCTGCATGATGGGATATCAGGAGCCGCATGAAATTTTTATTATTTGATTATATTTCATTATTTGTCTTATTTGTATGCAAAGTGCTTTATAAATTTGTTTTTTCTATTGAAGTTTTGCAAGAATACTGTCTGTATTTATACTTTCGAAACATAGCTTACGACTGACTATAGTGCATGTTTGCTAAATGCACAAGAATCTATTGCTGAAGTTGAATCGAAATATACAGTTTTTAAAATAGATGTGTTGTTAAAATGCATATTTCTTTTGGAATAACATTATTTACAATATCAAATTACAAGGTGATGAGGTAAGGGGTATGCAGAGGGGGGGGGGTTAAGGAGAGACGTCAGAGGAGTGAGAGAGGAATGGAGCTACCTTGCTGATTTAAAGTAGGTTTGAGCTTTGAGATGAGAAGACTTTCACGGACGAGAAGTTCATCTGGAGAGGAACATGATGATAGGATCTTAAAATCATCAAGAGAAGCAGTATGACCTGAGTGGCTCAGATGTGAAAAGACGCTCGTCAGTTGAGGACTGCTACTCGTCTTACCAGTTAAGGCGGAAATACCCAGGTGTTCAGAGACTCGTGTATGTAGATGGCGGAATCTATTGCTGAAGATGAATCAAAATTGATTCGAAATATACAGTTTTTAAAATAGATGTGTTGTTAAAATGCATATTTCTTTTGGAATAACATTAGTTTCATACATGCCGAAACTATCGGTCGGCAAAGGATTTGAGAATGATTATAACTATACCTGAAAACTACAAGCAGAAATAACTTCATGACGAAAGACCTTTGCTCGAAAAATTGTTTCACTTAGTTGTTTTGAGATATATTTTTACATTTGCTGGCTGCAAGTATATCTCACATGCACATGAAATGCGGGGCTGGATTAAAAGGTGCCTGAGATACAAGTTGTTACTCCTCCACCTCCCATCAACACTCCACCAAAACCATCTTTCTCCACAAAATAAGTAACCATGAGTATTCAGAGAGTGTGCCCTTGAGCAAATCCTATCTTCCTCTCAGTGTACAGTACATATTGAAAGTAGATCCCTATGATGTTTCATAATTAAGTTTGCTATTTAATTAGGTGCTTGTTTATCCAAACTATAGATATCAGAGTTCCTTTAAGGCAGTGTATTTATGGAGGAACATCAAGTCTTATAATATTATGATTGATAGATCATAGAATAATCCAATGGACCTTTCCCCTTATAACTAAAATTTTGATCTAGATAAAAATTTTATCACAGCTTGAAAGAGCATCACAAAATTAGTAATTAAATATTCCAAAGTTTTGTTGCAAAATGTTGTAAAATGCGGATAATATAGCCTCATTTTGTATTACGCATGGGAAATTGACAGCGCAATCGGGTGTTGGGGCGTCAATTTCCTGTTTTAATACAAAATGACTGAAAATTGCAAATTTTGCAGGGCTATATTATCCGCATTTTACAACATTTTGCAACGAAACTTCGGAATATTACTAATTTTGTGATGCTCTTTCAAGCTGTGATGAAATTTTTGTATAGACTTGTCTAGATCAAAATTTTAGTTATATGGGGAAATTTAAGGTCCATTAGTTGCTTGTATAAGCATTGTCTTGTTTAACTTTAAATAGTCTCTCTGTCACATGAAAATGCATGCGATTCCCCATTTTGAATGGCAATATGTGCCTTGGTCAAATACCTTGATTTTCCCAAAGAATTAGTAGTTTTGGTTGTAAGACTTTTTCTGTTGTTAATTTACTTTGCCTTAAGACCCATCTACACGATACGACTAGTCTTATACGATTCTTATCCTTGCGTATGTATTTGAATAAATGCATGTAAAGATGTCAAATTTCAAAGTTTGCCTTAAACTGATGAACAGGAATAATTCGTTTTCATATGCCAGGATAAGAATCGTATATGACTAGTGTCATGTAGATGGGCCTTTATAGGTGACTTCAAATGGAATTTCTTACTTTTCTTACAAATTTTCGTAGGCAGGTGGTCTATTATAATTATTCATCATCACAATCACATACGAAAGATTCATGCTGTAAATTTGGCATTGTCTGAATTCCAATGTAAAGATTTCTTGCAACATCCATTTCAATACACATTCACATAAACAGTCATTAGCATTTAGGAACATATATATATCACATTTGCATTCCTGTATGAAAAATTCAAATATTATGAAATTTGGGCAAATTTCCAATTGGAATGAGTTTTTCTCTCCAGTGGATTCCAATAGGAAAATTTAAATTCCTGTTGGAATTACAATCGGAATTTGGGCAAGTTTCCAATACGAAGAACGAAATTCATTACCATAGTTATAAAGAGCATTTTAAAATGAGTAAAATTGCAAAGTTTGGTTGCAAATTGTTGTAAAATGAGGAAAATATAGCTCTATGAAATTCGCAATTTTGTATATATTTACATTACGTGCGGGAATAATAACCATTTTTGAGCCGAAAGTGGTTATTTTTACCACACATAATACAAATACATATAAGATTTGCGAACTTTACAAAACACAGCCAAATGCTAGAAACCTGGTTGATGATGTAAACTAAATTCTCAATTCCATATAGATGGTGACGTCATGTTGTCATGGTAACATTGACGGTGGTAACAGAGATTGTGGGTTAAAATTACTTTTTTATATAAGAGGAACAATGGCTTGTGCAAAAAATTTGGGGTTTTTTAGATTCAAATAGCTTTTAGTTTAAAACACTGATATATATTGGAAACTGTAGGGAGCATGCAAGTTGCGTCGTCATGCGCCCTGCTTTATTATTTTACTCTGTCTAACCTCAAAAAAAACTTTTCCTTGTCAAGGGAGAGTAACTGTGACTCAATGGGTTAAGGGTGATGAATAATGTAGTATGGTATGTACATGAACTTTATTATTTTATTTTAGGTTATTGCAATATTTGCATTTTCAACAACAGCTGGCTATAACAGTGAGTACACAGTTAGCCTACCATGTCAGCCTAGTACAAGTGGACCAAATCAACATATCACAGTAACGTTTAGGTATTCGTTTAGCGTTATTGATATAAACACCAAATGTCCGAGTTTTCCTGACACTGATGATCTGCCTTCACGTTTGAAAAGTTCGTCAGAGTTTTTTGTCTTTGTTGGTGTCATAAGCTTCCTCTACTGTATCATTGCCATGGTTTACTACATCTGCTTTGAGGACCCAGCCAAATATGGACCTGGTGGTACAGGAAGAGCTCTGATATCATTCTCGACACTCGTAAGTTGTACAGTTCACTACAGTTATACGTGAAGGGTTTTTGTAGATGGAAGTTTTGAGCAAACAATTATATATACAGTTCTCATAACTGGAACATGGTTGGCTTACTTGGCTAATTTACTCATGCATTGTTAATGATTTGAGATATAATGACAAACACAATGGGCTTCATTGCGCAGTAGTGTCAGGGCAGCCACGTTTCACCTCTGAGCTAGCGGGTTCGATTCTCGCTGTGGATTCATGTGAAAAGAGTCCGTCAACAAACTTCCGATACCATCCTACCTCTGCCACCACTGCATGTAAATGTAACGTACATGGGCTAATTTTTGGTTTAAATAGATTAGTTTGTGTTGCGTCTGTCTTGATGCACCTTTTCGATAATGCATTTTTCCAGCTATAGACAAATTTTGATCCAGACGAGAATGACGAAATCTATCATAGCTTAAAGGCCTTATGCAACGAATTTTTCGATGGTCAGATTTTTGCATTACGTTATAAAGTTCTTTGCACTGGTTCGAAAGATGCAAACCGTTTTCCGAAACTCCAAGTAGCTTTATTTTTATAAGCCTTCAAAGTCGCAAATTTTGCAACTTTCTTTGCGAAAAAAAAAGACCTTTGGTGATCAGTGGTGTGACGTCACAGTAATGAGTTGTTTTCGACGGACCTTAGGCCAGATGATCTTGATACGCGGAAAAGTACTGGCACTAGTTGTCAAATAGAAATCCATTTTGTGATTAAAACAACTGAATATCTCCTGTAATATACTTTATTTCGATTCCATATTTTTGTCAGAGCTATAGTTCTCATAACCAAAGATAATTACAAAATTTCAACTAGTTTCATAAAGAATAACGAAAGATATAATTGACTGAATACATCAAAATGGATTTCTATTCGGACAACCCTTTCTGAGCGCTGATTGGCTAAAATACGAACACGAGATCACCTGGTATGTAAAACATGTTAATCCTTTGTTTACACACAGCACAACTCATTACTGTGACGTCACAGAGCGAACCAGTTTTTCGCAAGAGGGACCCATCTTTAAACACAAAATTCACCAACTTTTAGTTTGAATTTCGCATCGAGGTTGGTATCAAAATGATCAGAAAAGATGAAATTTTAATAATGTGTAAAAACCTCACCATCGAAAAATTCGTTGCATAAGGCCTTTAATTAAAAGAACATCCTTAAATTAGTAAAATTACCAAATTTGGTTGCAAAATGTCGTAAAATACTGAAAATATAGCCCTGTGAAATTATAAGCAAATTTTGATTATTTTTGGTATTATACGCCCGGAAAATGCACTACTTTCGATCCGAGAAAATACTCAGAATGCTTTAGTTGAATATCATGGTTAAATATGAAACATGTCGAGGTTGTTATTCAGCCATACTTTCAACTATATTGTACTTCAACAAGCAAATTGACAATACTGTCTTACAGCAACTGTCCAGTCGCGTGACTGGTGCATGATAAAAAACCGATATATAAACAGAAGATAATATAAAACGGCGAAATGCAGATTGGGCATCTCAAAAAGTGGTAATGTTGGGATAGTATAACTTTTAAAAGAGTAAATACAGATTATGTTATCCCTGAATATTTAAGCACTATGCTAGTAAGGAACTCAGATATTCATACTAGAAATACTCGCTTTAATAATACGAACATAGTGTGCCCAAAATACACTAGAGAGGCTGAAGGTGGGCGCACTTTCACCGTTAGAACTATTAAAGATTGGAACGCCCTCGATGTTACATTGCGCAAACAGAAATCTATATCTACGTTTAAACGCAGTTTGTTTACTAAATTTTTAACGGACCAGTAGTCCGCCATGCGTTTAGAAATTGCTTAGGTGGGTGGTGGGTTATTTTATTTGTAAACATAGTAGTTTTAGAGTTTTTATAAGTTTTAGTATTGTATTAGCTTAATTGTAGTTAATATGTAAGGAGGACCACAAATTTTATCAGTAGTTCACACTTACTGTCAAGTGTTTACCCTCATGAAATAAAGTCTGCATGAATGAATGATACTGCATTGCAGATTGCAGAGGAGAGTGGTCAGTAAAAGGCCCCCTAATGCACCAACCCATGGAAAACCTGCACCCCTCCTTGCGATGAGGCTATATCCACCCCTGGTCATTTAGCTTACTAGATAATATTTTTTATTCGTGAGCATTCATCCCATAAAGCAGCAGCAAATAACTCCAATTTACTGGAATAATTTTAGTTCTTAAAGTATTCACGCTGCTATCTTTTGTATTCACCTATCAACTTAGGACTTTGGTGTGACCATACTCCTGACTTTGTTTTGGTTCTGTGCTTCGGCGGCGTGGGCAGCTGGTATCACAAAGCTGAAAGATGAAACAGATGCAGAGAAATATTGCAAGCTATTAGTTAAATGCAGTGTTACAGACAAAGCTAATTATGCTGGTTTAATAATTTCTGTGGTAAGTATAAAATAACTATACATCCAGGTGATCTCGTGTTCGTATTTTAGCCAATCAGCGCTCAGAAAGGGTTGTCTGAATAGAAATCCATTTTGATGTATTCAGTCAATTATATCTTTCGTTATTCTTTATGAAACTAGTTGAAATTTTGTAATTATGTTTTGTTATGAGAACTATAGCTCTGACAAAAATATGGAATCGAAATAAAGTATATTACAGGAGATATTCAGTTGTTTTAATCATAAAATGGATTTCTATTTGACAACTAGTGCCAGTACTTTTCCGCGTATCAAGATCACCTGGATGTAATATTGACCCTCCGCTCGGAGTATTTGGGGAAATATCACCCAAAATGATATTTTCTGTGGGCGAAGCCCAAGGTAAAAACGTCAGTGAGCAGAAAGTCTTATAAATGGAAGCAATGGAATCCGGTGAAGCGTTGCAAAAATTTGCACAATTTAATAAGTTCTTTGAATGTTTGCATAGCGATAAAACACATAATACTTTTATTTGCAGTAATAAGTTGACGTGGTGTTTCCACAAACAAAAGTATTATTTGCACAATTTAATTGACATCCGGAGCTTTTGTTAGCCATACCAAGCATGATTGTTTTGTTTTGTTGAGCCAAAGCAAACTAGCACGCCACAACGGCTAAATTAGCACGGCTCTGCCATTCTGTATTTGTCCTCGTGTTCAGTTCTCGATTGTAAAAAGAATCAATAACACCCTTTTATAACCGTGGTACTTGGACCTACACTGGATACCCTGTATTAAGCGGGCACTTGCGAAATTCCCGAGGGTTACCGCTTTAATAGTATAGATTACAGGTTCAACTGTACATATACTAACGGCTTATTGACCTCGCTTGTTCGGACCGAGGTTTTTTAAATTTCCCGCCAGATAAACGTCATCCGGGACACCGGTCCAGATACGGAAAATACGGACCACGGTCCGGATATGGGTTTTTACGAATCGCTTGTCAACCAATCAGAATAGAGAATTTTGAAAAGCCATATAATAATGTACATTCTTCCATCGGAGCTTTTCCATGACTGATTACATCAAGTATCATGCTTACAACTATGACATGTTGTATATTTTTTACAGCTTTTTGGTTTCCTGAGCTGTTTCTTGTGGGGAGCAAACGTGTGGTTTGTGTTTAAAGAAACAATATGGCATAAAGAACCTGGTGCTACCACTACAGCTGAACAACCCCAGGTTGAGATACCTCGTCAAGAAGTACCTGGAGAACCTATGCCTTGAAACAACTGCAGTGTGAAACTATAATACCTTACTTCACTTAGAAACAAACTTTAGAACTTACTTTATTAGTGTTATAAATACTGTCCTCTAATAGACAATATAGAGGTTCAGATTTGACTTCCACTACCGCTACCATTAAAGGACCATCAACCAATCAGATGCGTTTGATATATTCGATTAACCAATCAGATGCGCTTGATATATTCGATTAACCAATCAGATGCGTTTGATATATTCGATAGTGGACGTCAAATCTGAACCTGTATACTAAGGGTGAGGGGTGGACTGGATTCTTGATTGATGATCCGCAATGTGGACCATAATGCTTTACCTCTCCTCCGCAGAGGCTTTAGTTGGCTATGATTTTTGGCCCAGCGGCTCCGCTCGTGTTCCGAGATCCACCATGTAAAATGTAGTAAAATGTATCTCAATACTAATCGTAATCATAGCCAACAGAAGCCTCTGCGGAGGAGAGAGATGCTTTACTTCGCTTAGGAACAACTTTAAAGGGAGGGAACTAGGGATGTGCCGAACAGTGGACGGTACTGGATCAAGGGAAAAAATGGTAACTGGATTCCAGTTAATGACCGGATACCAATGGTGGTAATTGAACAATATTTCACTATTTTCCCCATTATGTAGTCTATTGTTTTAGTATGTGCCTTATCCCTTTCTCTAATGTGCGTGAATATCTGCACAGGGATTGCCGCGGGCAATTCACAGCATCGAGCAGGTTACATCACGAAAACAGCCTTGGACAGGACATCTGTGACACTTCCAATTATTTGACCAAATACAATCTTGCCGTTGGACACAAAAAAGGACCTCCCCCTTAACTACACCATTCAATGCTGATTGCATTCCTAGAATACGGCTAAAGCAACTGTAATTCCTCCAACATTGTTTGGGGGGGGGGCGGCGGAAGTGGGTACATTATTCCGGGAGGAATGTTTTTATAGAGTCGCAAGTGGTTTTGGCCAAGTCTGTAGGTTCTAATATATAAGTTCCAACACTACTGTATCTGGTAAAAAATATCCGGTCAAAATTTTGCCTGATTATGCATTATATCGCATGTCTAACTGCAACTATTTTTCAAACACAGTGTGAAACTATATAAATTTACTTAATTTAGGAACATCTTTAGAACTTTTTTTATTTGATGCAGGCACGTTCCAGTCGCAAAAACTGGAAGTTGGAAGAGAGGAGTGTACTCATTTAAAACTTTTCTACGACAACCATAGGCGTAGGAATATGATATTTAATAATTTGAACGTTAGTTTTATTTTCGTGTGTAGTTTTATTTTATTCAAATAAATGGTACTGAGTCAGGTCTGGGTCAGCGTGAATTATAACAACTTTGCCAAATAAGACCTTAAAAGACCCAGCGGCAGTGAAAGATTAGCTCTGCTAAACTGGTTTCCATTGAATATTGTACCTTCTTTAAATAAAGTTTATTATTATTATTAACAATAGCCCCAGCCACGATCCCATTGATCGCAATGTTTCATTTTTTTTTCATTGTTTTTCAAATCCCACGTGTTCTGAGGCTGGCAGGCTGAAAAGTTAGCCTGACCACGGTGGGAATCGAACCCGCGACCTTTGGGATACTAGTCCAATGCTCTTCCAACTGAGCTACGATGCATGTTCTACGTTCCAAGTCTGTTCGATTGTGTGGTATTTCTACTATTTCGGTCTAAGTTTAGTAACTAAGTCTAGTGCCTTCGATACCAATGTATTCTTACCCTGGATTCCAGAGCCTTCGACAGTAAATAATAAATTGAAATGTCGTGAAGGCTCTGGTTCAACGGGGAGATTCTTTGATTAAACCGCGCCAATCACAAAGCAGAATTAGTGGTTTTAGTACAGATTCTGCTATTTCTGTACCTTATGATTTTAGGACGGCAACGCCACGACGACGGCCAAAACAAACTCCTTCAAATAAATGGTAGTAAAGATAAAAATTCGTCGTATATTATCAATCGTATGAATTTAATACAGTCTTAGAAATTGAAGACATGGCTTTTTAATATGGTTGGAAGAGTTCTGCTAAAACCCAGTTTGAAGTTGTTTGAAGTTGCACTTGTTGTGGCTTAGAATGCAGCCGTTGTATCAAGACGTGAAAATCTGTGATTTGTTGTAAACAGAGCGAAAGACAATGTCTAAATTATTCATATATTGTAATTACTCAATTCTTTTCAATGATCAATATGTATTGGTGCCCGTTGCCGTCCTAAAATCGTAAGGTCTCTATTATTCACGGGCAAGATGCGAACAAAATCTTGATATTTACCCATCACCTAACATGGCAGTACCTTTGTATATATACATGAACTTGCGGTTAGAGCTTGACAACTGGCCTCTGTAGCTCAGTTGGTTAGAGCGCTGCTCCGGAATCGCAGGTTCGTAGTACTGCCTCTGACAGGAATCGAACCTGCGGTTCACTACAATGAATCTTACATAAAGTATAAAAATTTCCTGACCACGTGGCTTGGAAAGTCAGTCAAAATGGCGTTCTTAAACAACGTTCATAACATACTTGGTCCGTGTTTCACATCGCTTATTTCTCTTTCTATTGCTTTGGTTGTGTTTATTTTTGGCAAGCAACCTGATCCGTACATGGACGAAGTGTTCCACGTCCCACAAGTTCAAAAATATTGCGCTCATCGCTTTGACCAGTGGGATCCAATGATCACGACTTTGCCAGGATTGTATTTTTGTTCATGGGCGTTCATTGAGTTCCTTGCTGTGGTATTTAAGCAAGATGTGAAGACGATGTGTATGCCGTTGTTTTTAAGAATGGTGAATATTTTGTTCAACATCGGCAATATTTGGGTGATTTACCGCATCATGAGAAAGTTGAATGAGATGAAGCAAGCTGAGCTGAAGAGGAGACAGGTATACATTTTATATACTATAAATATAAAATTATATTTAAGTGTTTATAATCAGAGCATATTTGAATAGGTTTGCAGTTGGGGGTCAAAACAAAGATTAGGGGTGTTATCCATGTGGGGTAACACATTGAAATTAATATAACTGGAACGCTACCTTCAGATAAACTGGCTATCTTTTTTTTTTAAGTCAAATCTGACCTCCAGACACGCAATCTCGTACCCAGAGCAATGCCTGTGCACGGGCTAGGAAGGCATTGGCTCTGGGGAAATTGACAACCGGAACCCCTAAATTTAGGGATTCCGGTTCTTTGTCGGCATGCACGATTGATAAATGTTAAACCAATCACAGCACAGGAAAAATTCAATTTCCCCAGAGCCAATGCCATCCTAGCCAGTGCACAGGTATTGCTCTGGGCACAAGATTGCCAGACATGCAAATCTGGAGGTCAGATGATGCATGTTTATGTCATGTTTTTGACTAATCAGCTCTTTGTGTGCGTGAAAAGACTGGGACTGGCCTACGAAATTTGCTATGAAACTTTTGCTATTTTGTTTTTCACAAGCAGTGTTTCCACTTTTCAAAACTGAAATTTTACAGCCTGATGGTCAGCCTGCTGCAGATCACATTCACCTATAAACGGGCAAGGTGAAAGACTGTCTGCCCGGGTTTGGCAGTATCTTAATGCAAAATTGGTTATAATAAAAGTTGCAGTACTATTTGTTAACCAGTAAATTTTTAAATGCCTGATGTCTATATTTCGGCGGATTCCAGTATTTGGATCCGGACATCCCTACAATACATACATCCCTTCAAATTTGAATTTCGAATCATAATATTCATCTAAATCTTTCAACGACAAAGCTTTTTTGATCACCCAATTTGAATCATTGACAGTTCTTTTAAGAACTAAAACAAAGTCTTTGATTTCTTGCAACAGACGGAGAGTTCCACAACTTCAACGAACAACAACCAAGAGGAGCTTGAAGAGAAGGACAAATTTTACCAAACAGCGACTGGAATAACCCTCGGACTTTTCCCTCTGTTGTTTTTCTTCATGTTTCTTTACTACACAGACAACGGCTCGACATTTCTTGTGTTGTTCATGTACTATCTAAGTCTTGGAGATTATCATGTTCCTGCGGCCATTGTCGGAATGTATGCCTTCTTCTTTCGGCAAACAAACATTGTCTGGGTCGTCTTTACAGCCGGAGTGACTGCTGTCAGAATGTATGAGCCTGTAGTCATGTTCAAGCTTGGCCCACGTTCAAACGAATCTTTGAATCTAATCGTGGAATTTGTTAAACAAGTGATATTGAACATTAAAATAACCATCCGAGTCCTATGGCCATATGCATTGGTCATGATATTTTTTGTGGTGTTTCTATTCATAAATGGTGGCATTGCTGTTGGTGACAAGAATCACCATAAAGTGTGTTTTAATTTCCCGCAGATTTTTTATTTTGCGTGTTTTGCCATGTTCTTCAGCTTTCCCCATCTATCGTCGCCAAGTACAATCTACGGGACCCTCTCGTACTTCCTAAGTTTGAATCAACGACGTTACCATTCTGCAGTGATTATCATTTTATTTGGCGTCTATTACCTTGTTAAAAATTTTACCTACGTCCATCCGTACCTGCTAGCTGATAACCGTCATTACCCATTTTATGTTTGGAAAAACATTTACAAGGCTTATCCGGAGGCGAAAGTCGCCCTTATTCCTGTTTACTTGGTTGCCATGACGATGATATTTGTATCAATAGACCGATCGAGATTGTGGAAGATAGTGTATGGTGTTTGTGTGGCTGTGGTGCTCATCCCCCAGGGGCTACTGGAATTTCGATATTTTATCGTGCCTTATCTTATGTTCAGGATTCATATTAAAAAACCTGAATTGTGGAAACTTGGTGCAGAGTTTATTATGTATGCTGCGATCAATTATTTCACCGTGTGGGCATTTCTGAAGAAGCCATTTAAGTGGCCGAACTCGAATGATATTCAAAGGTTTATGTGGTAACTTGGACATATTTAGGATGTGTGTTGGCATGTCTTTGCCACAGTGCGAACTCCATGAATTTGAAGGATTCACTTTGAAAAAATATTTATTCGTTTTTAATATCAATGCATGTAAGTTTATACTTTTATAGTACTGACAACCATTTTTGTACTAGGTTACATTATACATACATAAAAACCTCAGTCACAGTTTGTCAACAAGATGTGTTCGCTCTTGTTCCAAATTGTTGACAAATCTGGAACAAGTTATCATCTTGTAACAAGGTTGATGAGGCCAACAGACTCGCGACAAGTTGTTCCACCAAGCCTGATGTCGCATGCACGTAACAAGTTGTTAGCAAGTTGACGACAACAAGTTTGTAACAATTTATTACGAACAGCCTGTGCTAGTCTTGTTGTAACAACTTGTAGCAAGTTATAACAACTTGTTTCAGACTTGTCATAACAGCAGTGCGAACACATCTCCTAATATCGTCTTGACAACAACCTTATTACAACTTGTTTGCAGATCTATAATAACTTGCGCGTTTTTACGTGTGTAGGTTCATCAAACAGATGAACGGACAACGTTGGCCCAAAATCTAAATGGTTAACTGCTATAATTGTTGGATAAAATCATAAGATGATTTATCCAAATCATATGATGATTTATCCAAATTGATTGTCTATACTTTAAAATATTTGCGAAAGAAGCAGTATGAAACGTTATTAGAAAATTCATTCGTTCATTATTTATTTGATAAGGCAGGTTAACTACAAATGTCAATTAAGAAAATTGTTGGATCCGTTTAAACTAGCTTTACAATTAATGTGTATAACTAATGCTATTTACTAACTTCTACGATATCTTGCTGTATTTTGTATCTTTGCTATTATAAGTTCTGTATGATTGTGTAGTATTGAAAATTCCTATAAATCTAAGAAATGATTCTAGTTAAAACTGGTTTTAATCAAATTGAAGAACTCGGCGTCCTTCACTGATACGCTTGTCTTGCGATTTCGTTCGCCAGCGTCCAAATATTCCAGGCGAATTTTTCGAGCACATCCCGAGAGGTCCAGTTCGCTGGTATTTGTGGCTGTATGGTCATTTCATGTCTCCTGAAAACACTTTCGTAGCGACCATTTACTTTGAGCCTTGAATATTCGACGACCTCATCAAAACTCACTGTAGTCGAAGCTAGGAAGTCATCATTTGTATCTATGCTGTCGATCCTGTGCGTAAATACCTAATGAAGAAGATAATTGGCCCTGTTTATATTAATTTGGAGGACGTGTTTAAAGTCTGAGACGATTTAATAGAGAGTTTGAGCAAGACAACGAAGTCGGACAACGACGACGTGGTTGACAATATTTGCCTGTCTTGCACATTACCTTGCACATTCTGAGTTTAGGGTCAGGAGTGAAAACAGATTAGAGATTTATGCCTGGCTGTTTGTGAATGCTGACCCAAATCCTTACCCTGATCAAGATAAAACAGCGAGACATGAATCCATATCCCGTCTTCGTCTTCTGCCTTCGTTCTCAACGAATACTTTGGCAAATTTCGTTGTGAAACTCGTTCTGCACGAAGGCAGAAGGACAAAGACGGGATATATAGTTTCATGTCTCGCTGTTTTTTCTGGATCAGGGCAAGATTTATGGTCAGTATTCATAAACAGTGACACATGGGAAGATACGTTGTGCAACCACCAGTGACGTCCAACTCAGTATGCGCAAGATAATGTACATACGGCAAAAATTGTCAAGTATGCCTTCGTCTTCGTACTTCGTTGTCTTGCTCAAACTCTCTAATAAAAGTCTGAAACGACTTCCTAATCGTCAAGGCCAGATTTGGTGGAAATGGTTGCAAGCCTGCAAATAATTATTTTACGAACATTTATCAATTTTTCTCGGACAACGGACGAAGTAAAATTTTTCATATATTTTTTTAAAAATTAGAACGATGTTTTTTGCCTGGTCATGTATGTTAGATGCATCTAAAACTGAGAATATATCTACCAGTCCTAATGGATCAGTAAATTATAGTTCAGGTTATATACATAACTTTAATTTCTACCATGTTATATACGAAGGTGATGTTGATTTATAATTAAATCTTACAGCTGAATGCAGCAACTAATAGTGGAGAAGTGCCGCCTATATTGCTTCCTTGTTGGTTTCATTAATAAAAAATGTGTTAAATGACCAATTTTTTGAGATTGGGCCAGCCTGAACCGGTCGGTCACATGTTCGGTCATAAAAAGCTTTGATCGGACAAAAGGTAAAATTTGGCCGGACAATGTCCAATGACCGACACTAATTTGCAGGCCTGGGTTGAGGAGGTCGGAAAAAATTTAGGAGAGGTGCAGCGGTTTAATTTAATTAACTCTCGAGCCCCCATGGAATGCCGTATATAGAAAACTACAAAAGCAGAATAAAGTACTTGAGAGATTGGAATATTTTTTCTCATTCGCCACGTGAGCTACCTTTGATAAATATCTGGTCGCCAGATGAACAATTTAGTCACATTTGACGACTTGGCGCCCGTCATTTCAACCCTTGTTGAGTGTATGACTAATCCTGTTTGTCCTTCATTACATTACTGCAAAGTTTCTTTCGAAACATTGCATCGAAAGGGTATTTGACACAGAGAAGAATGGCTATCACTGTTTCAATTTTACAGAAAACTTAAGCAACACATTTAAATTTGTCAAATACTTACCCGTTGCTCCACGTGATGACGAATTATTGCAAGGTTGTTCTTGAAATCCAAGTTGATGAGAAACGGGTATGGTGAACTTGCGGGCTGTGGCGACTTTGCGGGTTGTGGCGACTTTGCGCGTTGTGGTGACTTTGCGGGCTGTGGTTCTGCTATCGGCTTGAGTATATCAAAGAATTTCTTTTGTGGTAAATTGTCGACAGCGCTCGGCGGGAAATTTTCGAAAGATCTTATCATTAACCTAAAAAGTCAATTGAGAGATTCAGATTTGACTTCCACTAACGTAGATGAGTACTCAGGGGCGAAACTTGAGGGGGTGTGACACCCCCCCCCAAGTACAAATCATCTGGATTGGCAGGGCAATGAAAGATTTTAAATGATAGAATGTAGAGTTATTAAGTAGATTCCAGGGCTTCCAGAGGGAATTGAATAGAATTTATAGACCTAAATTTTACAGATATTGGTAAAAAAATAAGGGTTTCATCCATGTTTTAACATGAATTTGTCCGAAAAAAATTTTTTGACCCTTAATTTAATTGGTTTATGTCCGGAAAAATTTTTTCGCTGTCAGAAACGTTGTCAGATTTTGACCGAGCTAAACCCATAGATATCTTATATACACTAGATAACGCATCTCTTTTAGTAAAATTGAAGCCAAGAATATTCCAGCGGTTACCCCCATTTGAATAGATGGCGGTCATGTTGGAGTTTCCCACTCGCTAATAAACGCTTAAAAAACAACAATAACTTTCATTATTTGAATAGTTTGAAAATGTATTTGGAACAGCCAATAGGTTTAACTTAATGTTTAATTAAGTTCCCTGTTTAAGAAATAGAAAACATACGAGTCTTCTCATTTCATGGGAATATCCTGAGTCTGCAATCACGGCTTCAATTTTTGAATTGCAGGGGCCTGTTGTAAGTGTTGTTCAAAAGCCAATTAGCTTAATCCTAGGTTAACCTAAAATTCAAAGCCTAGACTTCCCAACAGCTTGTTTATAAATTTGAAAATATTTCTTCAGAAATCTTGTCTGGGTCAGTAGGAGTTGTGTCCTCTGAAGTTTTGAAATAAACAGACTTGCAGAAATACACAAACTAAAACAGCAGGTTAAATTTTAACCGAGGGTTATCGCTAATCCAGCTTTGAACAACCGACCCCAGAATAAGTAGATGCACTTTCTATAGTGTATACAAGATATCTATGGCTAAACCTAAGGGACCGGTCATAAAGTAACTTCTAGGGTGGGCTGAAGTGATTTGGGATGGGCCATGGAAAATCTTTAGGCAGTTGTGATGGGCCGCCAATTTTTTTGTATGTCCACGGTTGGGCCACCAAACAAAAACCCATGCATGTCTACTTCAAAAAATAAAGATATTAATAATAAAAGTAAACAAAACTATCCAGCGGCGGCGGAACAGATTTCGTTCCGGGGGGCTAAATTTTTTCGGCGACCTCCCCCCCCCCCAAAAAAAAAAATTTCGGTCAGTGTACCACTTTAGGGGTACAATATATAAAAAACAGGACGAAAAAAATTTTTTCGGACTTATATCAAAAAAATTTGTCGGAAATACACTTTTTTTAAACAAAATATTGCAAATTTGTCCCCTTATACCTAAATTTTAAAAAAATAACCTAAATTTTTCCCTAATTATCAAAACTTTTTCAAAAAATTCAAATTTTCTGGGGGGGCTAAGCCCCCCCACTTTTACTTCTGGGGGGCTTTAGCCCCTCTAGCCCCCCCTGTTCCGCCGCCCCTGAAACTATCCAAATTATCAAATGCAAATGATGCTATTGAAGCCAGTACTTTGTTTATACAACAACACGAAGTGGTCGAATCACAGCAAATACAACCAACTGGAGAGCAGCTCAGTATCAATGTGTTGGTCAAGCTTGGTGGAATTATGTATGTCAATACAGTGCTGTGTGTATTTACAATGTTCATGCCTGCAAGTTTTTTTTTTATTATAAAAGTGTATCTTCCCAATTTAGATTGGGTGGGTCATGAAAAATGTTTTTTGTAATATTAGATGGGCTTTGAAATTTTTATCTACATCCTAAGATGGGTCAAATGCCTTCAACAATCAGTTCTATCAAGTGAGATGCCTACATCCTGGCCATGGGGTAACGGTCAGGGTCCGTTATTAGAGAGTTTGGCAACCTAGAACGGCAACGGGGAAAATATTGCTTATATTGTTGTATTTGAGCCAAAGTATACGTTACTACACTTAATTTGCCTCTTTAAGTATTCCTGTTTCTTTCAAACGTACCCTGGCTTAAGTAAAAATAGTCCGCGAATTCAAATAAAACACCTCAAATAACATCGAACGAATTAATGCCGTAGTCATGCACCGTGAAAATGATGCAAATCACGCACTAGTTTCAACAACTACGGCATTGCACAACGCTTAAGACCATGCAATTTACATTCGCCTTTGTCTTTGAGGATTAATGCTATTGTTGATGACCATATTGCAGTTGCCGTTGCCCTTGTATTTGCCAAACTCTCTATTTCGGGATAGTAAGGGTGGGTTGACTACAAAATTTTTGTAGTTCGCTATAACTACAGCTACTTCAAAAATATGTAGTCAGCTACAACTACTGCTACTTTTGAACAAAGGTAGTTCGCTACTGACGACAGCTACTGCTTAAAAATTGTAGCGAACTATTTCGCTACGCCATATTTTTTAGTTTCTCTCAGGCTGTAATGTAACCTATAACAAATCGACTTACGAGTAGCAACGGTAAACACAAAGCAACATTTCTGTAAACACTACAGTGTTCAGGAGTACAAATTGACTATTGAGTATTGATTTTAAGCAAACCGTGTCTCAATATCATGCTATTCTATCAAGTTGCTAACAATTTTAAAAAGTAGCGAATAGCGATTCGTTGTTTGAAAAGTAGCCAACTACTTTGGCTACTTTTAGGCAAAATGTGGTTTGCTATAACTACAGCTTTTGTTTTAAAAATGTAGTCAAAAACTACTGGCTACTTGAAAATTGTAGTTGGCTACAACTACTTCGCTACCACCCACCCTTTCGGGATAGTAACATATAGAAAGCCACTGACCTCAAGTCACATTCCGAGCCATTAAGCATGTCGGGATTGAACTGTTCGTCGGTAACGACTGATCGTGCTTGCCACGGGCGTTTCACGTCGGCGACGAACCATCGTAGTTTCGCTGATCGGATGGACTTCGGTTTAATATCGGAATCGTAGGTGATGTCACACTCTCTTCCATCGTCCGCGTTGACAGTGACCAACAGATAAGGAGAGCCGAGGTTTGAGTCTTCGGCGAAACCTCGCCTTTCGAGATATGTGATTATCTTGGCGGCACATTCTTCTGGGATGTTTGTGAAAAACGAATGTTTGGGCGATCGTTTTTCGTTTTTTCTTCCCGTCTTTTCTTCGTCTTTTTTCGTTTCGGACTGCTTTTGTTTCTTGAGGCGCCTAGGTTTAAGACGGAAAAGCTTTCTGGTAGAACTTGTTGGCTGTAAAGACATGAGACAGGCCGCTTTGCTTTCGAAACCTTTCTTGAGGGATATTTGAACCGTTTTAACAGTCGTCGGGTCGGTATCTTCAGTCATGGATCTGGGAACGTGAAACGTATACAGCCGACCGAAATGCACAATGAATTCTAAAATCCCACCATGCACGATGGGCGTGTAGTCGCGTTCGACCACTTCAAGCTGACGTTGGAGGTGGTTGAGGAAAATACGGAACGATCTTTCTTCCGGGTCTGCGATGCTCGTGGTCAGTGGTGCGTTGCCAAGCAACGGTACGTGACGTACCAGGTAGTCGTGATGCGAGTGGTGGCGACCGTAGTAGGGAATCAAGTTAACCGGATCGTTTTCGCTCTCACTTCCTTCGAATATCATGACATTTGCTTCGCTTACAAAACACATGCCGAGGCAAGAGAAAGGCTGTGCTATCAAATTTGCAGATTTATCATCTAAGATATTCTCCAGAACTCTTAAATAAGAAATAAGAAAAAGTTACTTGCAGAAACAACCCGCATAAAAGGATTAGTGGGTTAGGAACCACTAGACTGAAATTTAGGTAATTTAAAGCACCCAAAATACAAGTACCATTTCAGGCTGACAAATGAGACTGATTCTTAAAAATCTTTAAATTTTGTACTCTAGCTGAAGTAGAAAACATGTTCTAAGGGCAGGTTTAAGCAGGTACAAGCTTAGTTTAATACTATTTATTGCAAATGCAAAACATAATCTGTTGGGAAAACATTAAACCAGGAAATATTGTTTTTGACCAGAAGTAAGAACAAGTCAAGAACCACTTCAGCCAGCTGCATTAAAGATAATGATTAAGAATAAGAGGGATTTTTTTTCAATGTCGCGTATTTGCGATGCAAAGTGTTCAAAACCTAAAATCTTTTTGGCGTTCCTCTCAAAATTACTTTGTTTTAGCTTTATTCTCTAGTTTATACAGTTAGCTACCTTTTTAAATGAAACACTAAACATACTTTTTAAGTTTGTTTGACGATTGAGAAACGTATCGAAAAATAAAAATTTTGAATTTAGTCATTTCCCAAGTGGTATATTATACGTATTAGTTTTGAGCGCGTGTTACGTAACATACAAAAAAATCTCCTCTTAAATTAAATGCACTTTTTATAAGAGGGAAGTTATTCCGAATGGTGATTGGGTGTAATTTATTCTGTAAATTTATAGTTATCAGAGTGATAAAATAATGTTAATTTTTTTCATTGTATTCAGCAGTTTTTTATTAAGAGGTAAATATAATCGAGAAGTATTGTATATGTTAATGTTATGTGATATACACAAAGTTCACTACTAAAATCTACCAACCAATAAATATGTTCAAATAATTGTTCAAACCTTAAAGCAACGGCTGTGCCCGAGGCTTCTAGCAGAAGATTGGTACCAAGTCCGGGGAGGCGTGGCCTGATCCGAACCTTGGCCCCAGATTTCTCCGAGAACAATTTGGAATGATGACCTTCCGAGCCCGCGATCCATGCAGACAGCTGGTCCGTTAGATGACAGGAGATTTGATCCTTCGAGGAAGATACCTCTAGCAGTACTGTGACGTCACAATGCAATGCGAGTATGTGATAGGCCCGTTGCATTTGATCGTGAAGCAACTGCGCATCGCCTTCGCCTAGAAGGGACTGGAACTGGTCCGCGTCAAGCAATTCCACGAAGGCTTCTGGGATGTCGGAATCGAGAAGGGACTGGTGGCGACGGAAGAATTCCAGTAGCACGTAGCCGAGCGGTGTGTTTCTGGGACCTAACTTAAAGTGGTGCTGCTGGATTTCGTCGATGTCTTCCATTTCGTCATTCTCGTGAGCATCTGCGCCATCAGTTGTATTGTCTAACAGAAGCGCTAACGTTTCTTTCCATTTCGATACAAGATCTTCATCTTTTGTCTGTAATTTCACAAAAATACAAAACCTTTTCATGTACCGTATTTCCTCTATTTACTATTTAGCCCCCACGTCTAATAAGCCCCTGCTCCAGAACTACCCGAAACACAACCCTATATAAACTTTATAAACAATAAGATAACGTAAAACGTAACAGAACGGCGAACATGCAGATTCGACCATCTGAAATGATGATAAGGTTGGGATACTAGCGGTTACAGACTGCAGAGGAGGGTGGACAGTAAGGGTCCCTCATGCACCACCCCCATGCAAAACCTCACCCCTCCTTGCACTGAGCAATGAGCCAGTTTTGAAGCCAGAATATTTATAATGAGATGAGATTTTAAAGTCCGTCAAAATCTTTGCAAATCGGATCGCGACGTGTTTAACTTTAGCTACATTATCAAGGAAATGTGTTTTCATATATAACTTAAAAAAATATAGCTTCCCACATCTCTTTTAAAGAGGTTTAGAACGTTTTAAACACTGGGTAATGGTGATCGCTAGATAGTATACTTCAAAATAAGGTTTCCGTTTTTGTAACGTAGAAAAAACTATCCTAACGCAAAACTAAACCCTAACCCTAACCTAAACCCCAACCTAAACCCCAACCTAACCCTAACATTTTAAAAAATTGATATAAAAACGGAAACCTTATTTTGAAGTATACTATCTAGCAATTGCCACTAGGGTAATGAGACTTGTGGCAGCCATCTTGGAGTGACCTCATCAGTTGTTCACGGGCATTTTTAAGGGAGAAAGAAGTCACTGTCGATAACTAGAAACTGTAAGAACTTCTTCCAAACCTTGTTTCTGGCAGTGTTTTCCACATCTTCCCGAATTTCATCTACATCAGGCTCGGCTACCCAGCCAGCACGGACACAGAATGATAACAACATGAACACGAGTACATTTGTGTTAATGAAGCAACCTTCGCGTTTGCTAATCAGGCCTGAATCACGTGCCCATTGTATGAGCATGCGCAGTAACGGCAACAGTGGTGGGTATTTATGGATGTACCAGGACACGACCATGCCTTTTAGGAATCCGTCGGGGTTAACACAAAAGTCCACGCAAAGTTTGGAACCGAATTCTATTCCTTTTAAGCCGGCCAAACGAAATATTGGGACCTTAGCTCCAACAAAGTGCACCCCGTTATAAATTCTTCGTAGTAACGGCTCCAGTTTACGAAGGAGGGCTTTTTGATCAGGCTGGGTTATATTGCCGGCTAATTCTAGGGCGTCCTTGCTCACCACGCAACCCGACTTGTTGCTAGGCACCGCACAGAGGTCGATATCTGACGTATCTTCAAAGAATAACGTAGCCGAAGAACCGAACATGACCACACCGTTGACCCGCGAATTTTCTTTAATGGCGTTTTGGATAAAGGATTTAACTTGTAGTCGATGTTCGTAGTCTTCCAATAGTTTTCTCGCTTGTTTTGCGAAAAAGTCGCCCAAGCTGTTCTCAATTGCTGAGTAAGCGTTTTTCTCCGACATGCCCTCTTTCAGTGACCGTTTATCGGCGAGTGGAATGGTGACTAGTACGTCGTCGACGATCCATGGAAAGCCGACGAAGCGTTTCGGCTGTTCTTCGGAATCCTTCGTGGTTTGTTCGCTTTGGTAGGCAACGTAATACCATGCCGATGCTTTCTTTTGCATTTCCTCGGTCACTTCAAACTTGGTCAGCGGTGTGTAATCGCGCGAGAATTCCAGGAAGAAGTCTCGACGAAAGGTCGTCCTGAGTTCGCTCATCAATCGACGCACGACGTCGGCAACCTGTTGATAATATTAATAATTTTTTAATTGTTGTTTAAACAGGGTGTGACTGCCCAATCAGGGTTACCAATAGAATTTAGAGTAGGAGGCTTTTTGCAACTATATATATAACTGGCAGCGCTTTTCGGGGACCGCGGAACCGGGAAGGGGGACATGTGCCCCCCCCCCCCTCCCTTTTTTTAAAGTGAAAAAAGTGCAATTTTTCTGGGTTTATAAAGTACCCCATTTAAAGAACGAAAAAAGTATTTCTTAAATGAACGCCCTCTTTTGCTGGAAAGAAAGTGCTCTTTTGTTGCAGTAAAGACTCTGTAAAGGCCATTTCCGACGTTATAAGAGACTCCATATATTCAAAAATATTCATTTTGCTCCACTTTCGAAATGCTTCCGCGTCCTTTGGCGTTCTTCCGCATCAGACACGCGTGCTTTAAGTATTTTATTGCATAATCTGTTGAAGATTAAAGATCCAACCTGTTGCCGTTCCCGACCCAACTTTTTCTGAAGCTTGTAAAAACAGCCGCTCATTAACTCTTCCTCCGTCTGTATTCCATAGAGGTTCAACACGTTCTCGATATGCTCCGTGTACTCCGCGAGTGTTTCGCGCGCGGACTCCACGTACTCCTCGAAGCCTTGCGCGAGGAACCTTGGGTCCACGTGACCCGTTCTCTGAGGTGGACGGAAATTCATGGACTGCTGGAAATTCTTGCATTCGCGATATAATTTCCCGAGAATTTTTTGTGAAGGATACGAAGGCTTGTCCGTCTTCATCATGAAATCCGGGTATTCTCGTAACCGGGCATTAACCGGAACTTCCTGCCACAAACCGGTTTTCGGCGCGTCGACCGCGAGGGAGTGGAGTTCGGCAAGCTGAAGGCAGAGTGCTGATTCCACGTTATTATTATTATTATTATTATTATTATTGTCTTTATTAGGGTCCACTAAAGTATATGTACAAAGTCTAATTATAAAGTCAATTATTCGGAGACCCTAAATGGGCGAGGCGCAAACTGGACTCGAAGAACCATGCAAGGCACCTGCCCAAACTTAGTAAAATTTACTGTTCTAATTGAAAATCTATACTGTTCTAGTAAACCTCGGAGGTGCATACGCCTCATAAAAATCGAGCGTTAGTAACAGTGTCTTAGTGTTTTAAATTTTTCACTCGGTTCACTCATATGGATAGGTACGGGATAGAATGGAATGATGCTAGGTTCCGGATAGAATGGAATGATCCATTTTCAAATTTAAGTATGTTTGATTGTTCCGCAGACGACATTGCAACAATCAATTTCACCATTGTTCACGACAGACTCACCTAGCTGGTCACATTTAATATACTCTGAAATAAACTCAGTCATGTGATCCAGGCTAATTGTACCCGCTTCCTCTTTCTTCTGTGGAGCTTTGTAATTCATGGGAGCGAAATCTGATTGACTTGGTAACATATCTTTCCCCAGGACACGAAATACAAATCCCCGTCCAGATCTAAATTCAGTATTCTATGACTCAAAATCTTGTGAATATTGCACGAATTTTTGAGAAGACCTGCGAGTTGTCAGTTCTTATAATACAAATAAAGCACAATTCTTGAAACCAATGGTTCTCAGTCAATATAGAAATCAAATCTATTACCAGCCATCTCATTAGGATGCGGCCTTGCTCCCTTGCTTGGAAAGACGACACAGTCCACCAGATGCCTTAACTCCGGGACATCCACCGCTTCGAGCTGCCGCACATCACCCGGATGTAGACACGGATTTCTGGTCACCACCACTTTTCCCGCCACAACCGTCTTAATATTCCCGACAAAATGTTCGTCTCCCTCGCCTCTCATCTTCGTGTGCTGAACAAATACCTGACCAGATTCAAGTAAGCCTGTTTCGTCCATAACGCCCATCATTAAACGTGCTTCTGTCACTGGGAGCAGAATTCGAGCCTTCGAAAGCAGGCCATGGATTTTTTCACGGTATAAAGCACACAGGAGTGATCTGAAGTAGGGTTCGGTCGTGAGACACACGCCAACGTCGCTTAATTCTTTGTAGTTGATTCCTGTACGGATGGCGCAAGTCAGCCTCTGCTTGGCTTCGTTTTCGTCTGTCATCATATCTGTATTTGGAAATGAATATGTTTGAATGATGTGTGGAAGGCACTGTGCTTTGATCTCATTCTCACTTTGAGAAGAAATTTCCAAGTTTGTCCTCAGGCTTTCTCCAAGTACTCCTGTTTTCTCTTGAAATTATACTGTGACATGATAACAGTTTAGAACTGAGAGAGTTGTCCATTATAAGCTAAACTGAGTTAGTTTTAGTTTATTTCAATTTAGTTCAGTTCGGTTTAGTTTAGTTTGTAGGTTGTAGGTTAGGTTGGGTTGGGTTGGGTTGGGTTGGGTTGGGTTGGGTTGGGTTATAAGTTATAGGTTATAGGTTATAGGTTAGGTTATAGGTTATAGGTTAGGTTATAGGTTATAGGTTAGGTTAGGTTATAGATAGAGCAGAGTTATAGATTAGGTTATAGATTAGGTTATAGATTAGGTTAGGTTGTGGGTTAGGTTAGGTTATAGGTTAGGTTAGGTTGTGGGTTAGGTAACTTAGGTTAGGTTACAGGTTAGGTTAGGTTATAGATTAGGTTGTGGGCTAGATTAGGTTATAGGTTAGGTTATAGGTTAGGTTATAGATTAGGTTATAGATTAGATTAGGTTAGGTTAGGTTGTGGGTTAGGTTATAGGTTAGGTTGTCTTATAGGTTAGGTTCGTTTAGTTTAGTTGAAGGGTGAGTATCATGCCTGTGATCCTTTGGGCTCTTGGCGTCCCAGAAAATGGCTGACCCTCTAGTATTTATAAGCGATCGCTAAGATTTAATTTGTATTGGCCCATATTTATCGGAATTCTATTGAAAAACAACTCTATTTCTTTTTTAAAACGAAGTAAGTCATTATATCTTGTGAAATGTTTTTTGTGCAAAATGTTTGTAATGAAAGTATATGCAGATACAGCCGAATGTAAACATAAAATGTAAACACAAACGTGCAAAGGATCACTTGCATGATATTCACTCTTTAATTTCAGTTTAGTGTAGTTGTGGTTTAGTTTGTCATTTCCCAAGTGTCATTTTTGGTTTGCCCAAAATACAAAACAATTTTTCTTCAACAATGTTTCTTACTTTGCCAAAGACTCAAATCTTCCAATTTTATGTTGGATTCGTATGCGCAGTCAAAACCCCAAACTGTATGTTAACAAATATGCGGACAGATAAAAGCATATATATACATACATGCCAAAGCATCAAGCATTTTCTCTTGATGTCTGAGGAAAACCTGGTCAGGTACGCCAAGATTGGACAACAACATTATGAGCTGATGATTCAGGTAAACAGCCTGGGGACGAGATGTTTGAAGCACCTCAAGTCGTCTGTGATCGGACTGAAATTTGCGCATGCTTGGTCTGAGTTGTATCTGGTTGTCCGGTATTTGCGGGTCTGTGGTTAGGACGCCTTTGTACCCCGCAAAACGGATCTGGAATGCACTTGGAGGTAGTTTCTTGTTGATTAAAATTGACACCTTGAACAAAAAGAGATGATTTGTGAGTTAACGGATACACGATGCCAATCCTTGCAAGTTTAGAGGGATTGTTTTTGAATTAAGACCCAATTGCATGCACACTGAATAGCTTTAGTTCTAAACTGTTCTTCCTAGAGATCCAAGACATTCCATGTTGTTCCAGTGTTATTGACGGAGGAAGCTTAAACTAAACAATCGTATTAAAATGGAATAGCTATATCAGGTTTAAACTGTTTTTCCTAGAGATCCAACAATGGGCAATTCATATTGTTTCATTGTTATTACAGGAGGAAATTTAAACTAAACAAACTTTATTTAAACCGAATAGCTCTGTTCTAAACTGTCATTCCTTGAGATCCAACAATGGACATTCCTTATTGTTTAAGTGTTATCATCGGAGGAAAACTAAACTAATCAAACTTCATTTAAATCGAATAGCTCTATCAGTTCTCAACTGTTTTTCTTATAGAGATCCAATAATAGGCATTCCATGTTGTTCCAGTGTTACGATCGGAGGAAACATAAACTGACTAAACAAACTTTATTTAAACCGAATAGCTCTATCAGTTCTAAGCTGTTCTTCCTTGAGATCCAAAAATGGACATTCCTTATTGTTGCAGTGTTATCCACCGGAGAAAACTTAAAATAAACAAGCTTTATTTAAACTGAATATGGAATGGCTTTATTAGTTCTGTCTTGCCAATTGTTCGCCCTACTAAAGGTACAGTAAGGGCATTATACTAGTCCAATGTTACTACAAGAAGAAAGCTGAAATTGAATTGTTTTTATTTGTACTCTTTTGCTCTTCAATTCTGAATGCAATTATACGTACAGTTTATGCATGTCGTTGATTTTTCTTCCATTTTTTAGGACTTTGCATGTTTTGTTGCTCGTTCAAGAATGTTATTGCTCAAAATAAAAGGTTAGTGCCTAGTGGCTTAATTAAAACCTTATATCTTTTTCGTCTCAGAAAACAGTTTATGGAGACAGCACTGATAGAGAAGAATAAATAAAGTTAGTTTAGCGAATGTTTCCTCCTGTGGAAACACTAGAAGGGATGACTCTTGCTGGATCTCTAGGAACAGCAGTTTAGGACTGATAGATTTGTCCAGTATAAATAATGTTCGACCGACTTCTGTACTAACTTTTTTCGCGACGTTCGACGAAATACGGCCGACGCCATCTGAAAAGGTGTACTTCTGATCAGCGGCAGCAATTTCGACGTCCTCGATGTCTTTAAACTCGATTCCAGTCTCCTCCGGGACCACTGTAATAGTGTCTGTTGATGTCGAAAAACACTGGCCCATCCGTGCCATTAGTGTTGCAACGCATCTAGGAAATGGACGGTCAATTGTGGGTATTATTCTACAACCCCTAGACTTGCTGTAAGTTCTATCTTTCTGATCCACTATATTGCAAATGACATGAAGTAGCGCGCAAGGCGGGCGTGAAATAAGGGACATGTTTCGTAATCTTGGCCTGACCTGAATGCCCGCAAAACAGATTCGCCTTTCGTAATATCCCAATGTACGCAGCATATCCCAAAGATTTTCATTAAATGGAAGCACGATTTTCAAAACTAACGAATTTCCGAAGATCCCAACTTGGTGACCGTGCCTTCCGATTGGGATTCGATTGAGTCTCTTCCATTTTGTAACTTGCTTCAGTTTGCCGATTATTTCAGTCCCAGACTCCGACGCGGACTCGTTTCCAATCCCCGTGTTGGCCGTTGAGGTATCATGTGGACTACGGAAATTCCAGCTTGAAAATATTTCCTTCTTCTCGATTTTGGAATGCAACCGTGACATTCTTTAGGTCATGCTCAAATATAGCCATACCCCCGGGATGAGAGACGTGGGACCATTCCTCAACAAATGTTGCTCTAAATAATAATAATAAAAATATGATGATTATGGTGATACAGTGGTGATGATAATGGTGATGATGGTGATGGTGACGATGAAGATGGTGATGATGACGATGATGATGACGATGGTGATGATGATGATGAGTTCATTTTTTTCACCAAATATCGTTTATGTCTTTAGGGTTATTGCAGAATACGGACATTTCTGATGCTGTATACATCACCTACAATTACTGAGGGTATAGGTTGTTAAATATCTTAGCTTTGAATATTCTTACTTCAGACTTGGCTAACATCGTTATTACCCAATTCAAAACGTGTCAGCCAAAATGTGTCTATTGGAGCCTTTAAAATCACTATTATGAAGAAGTTGAGACTCGAATGATATTATCTTTTGAACAAACTCTAATTTAAAGAGAGATTACCATTTGCAGAATGTCCGAAGTTTCTGTCCGTTTTCAAAGGAACGATGTATAATGAATTTTACGACACAATAACGGTAATAATCACCTTCTCCCGAACAGCTCTTTCAATATTCGCTTCTTTCTCAGCCAGATCGAGATAGCGTTTTCTCTCTTCTTCGCTGTTACACATGATCACGAATCTACTATCTGTCGTCTCGCTGCTCGTCCTCGGCTCTGTACCAGGGCCCTGAGACTGGTACCTCGGCTGTCGTAACGGATGACCAAATTGCATGCTGGTACATCTAGGCCTTCTCGAGGACATTGGTTGAAACCAGAAGCTTGCAGTCGCCTTCGTGGAACCTTGGGTTTGAAATTTAAAATGCAAGAAATTGAACGTTTACAAGTAACATGAATTTTCCACGAGATCTTGTTATTTCCAGGAATGTTTTAGGAAGGGAGGATTAAAACAGAGATTTAATTCATGCCAAACGTGATAAGTTCTACGCTGTCAGGAGTGTATGTTTTCAAGATGATCAATAAATGTTTAAATCAAATGTCAGCACAGTTTATGCATGACCATTCTGGTCGTGTTACTGCGAGGAAAACAAGGTAAAAAGACTATACTCTATTACCTGAATGTTAATCTGGAATTTGCAAAGAACGGATTGTTTTAGTATGGTTGTCAAATTTACAATGCCTACTGGACTACTTAACATTCAAATTAAACTGATCATGATGACATTTATGGACTGAACTGTTGAGTAAATTTTAATGATAGCTTTATGACGAGGAGTGAGTTGGATCACAGTTAATAGAATACATGGTTTGGAGACTCGATGAAAGTACAATCTAACTCATTAACTATGTTAGTTTCGGTTTATGCAAGAAATTGGGTCTATCTCGTCACGTGTGTATTGTATTTTTTCCCGCACAACCAATAGCAATGTTTGGATTGAGCATTTGTTCAAGTTACGAATGGATAACTCAACCACAAACTTGTTATTGGTTATTTGAGTGAAAATACAATACACACTTGACGAGATAGGACCAAATTCTTGCATAAAGCTGGACAATAACATAGTTAATGAGTTATATTGTACTTTCATCGAGTGTCCAAACCATCTATTAAAATAACTGTGGTTGGATAGATCTTTTCTCGTCTGTGTGTCTATTAGTATCAAGTCTGTCTCTCTTTACCTCGTTATGACAACTTCCTGTTCACCCTTCCACTGCATTCCATCCAAGCCGTTCCCATGCCCCACGCACGCCAACGGCTTGAGCTTCTCTTTGATCATAGGGTCTTTGTTCAACTCCTCACGCAGCTTCAAGCACGTGCGACGCATGTGAACAAATATGATCGCACGACATGTGTTATCCTTTTGCACGTGATCGACAAAATCTCGAACAATCTTTAAAAGCTCGGTGAAACGACCTGATGCAATGTTGGAACATCTTGAAAAACTGTTCAATTGCATTCGGAATACTTGGTAGCTGGGTTGAGATTGGAGGAGGCGTTTTGTTAACATGTCCATAGGAGATCTATAAAGAGAAAATAAACCATGTGTTTACAATATTATTGGGCATGTATTACCTCCAAAATTCTCACAGCTTGTGAACAAGATATGTTCCCAGTTGTTGAGAAGTCTGGAACACGTTGTTATCATCTTGTATGAAGGTTGGTGAGGCCAACAGGCTCGCAACAAGTTGTTCCAACAAATCTGATATCGTAGCACGTAACAAGTTGATGACAACAAGCTCGTCGCAACGTGTTACAAACAGCATGTACTGTCTTGTTGGAACAACGTAAAGCAAGTCTGTTACCGCCATCAACCCTGTAACAAGATGATAACAACTTCTTCAAGACGTTTCAACAATTTCAAGTCAAGATAATCACCGGCTTCATAAATTACTTAGCTCACGAATAGAACTAGACTTCTCACAGCCGTTCTTTGAGCCGCTCTTTGTGTCGTTCCTCCCCAATAGCAAACAACGGTTGAGAGAGTGTCGTGTCTTACCTCACATTATCAACTGCCTGGAAGACGCCATCAAGTGCTTCATAGGCGTGACTCGGGCCCAGTACCCTATTCAACTCTACGATACTGTACATATTCATGGCGTGCATGACTAGTGCCAGTCCTTGGACATACTCCTCTTTGCTATGGCAGCGGTCAATCACAGTTCGTAGACAGCCTTTGAAATTTATTGAAGATGCTGGGGTTTTGGAAAGAGCTTCGGGCATGGCTGAAAGTTGTTCTATCTTCGGACAAATGCTTTGGATGTAATTCACGAGTATCGATTCCAGATTCTCTTGGATGGAACTCAGTGGTTTGGACTTGTACGAAGTCACTGGGTTATTCCAATGTAGCGCTAGATCGTTTGATAGTGTTGGCATAATACAACGAGCCCGCAGTGTTGTAAGCAAAGTAGTCAGCTGTTCGCGGGTTTCTTCGATGGTACTTGCGCCCGCCGGCGACGCGGTTAGCCCAAGAACGAGCGGTTTATAACGATCCGAAAGCTGATCGTAGAATTCGCGCATAATTTTCGCATATACGTGGTTGCCCTTGCAGTTGTGCGCTTCGTCAAAAACCATACACGAGACGTCGGAGAGCTTTAGCGTCGCATCGTCGTCGCTTAAGAAATTGTAGAAAATTTGCGCGGTGATGACCAACACGTCGATCCGTTTTTTCGCAATGCTTTCTATGACTTGAACCCAGTGCTGCTTGTCGCCTGGAAATCGCGTCAAATCTCCCGCCAAAATCTCAACGCGCAATTTCGGGTTTTGTTTCCTTAAGTATTGGCTTTGTTGGTACACCAGCGGGATTCTGTGGACCAAAAATGCTGCCATCTTTCCAGGGTTGAGTTTTAACATTGCATTTATGACCATAGATGAGACTAGAGTCTTTCCGGAGCCTGTGGGAAGGTAGACAATGGCGTTGCCTCCCATTGCTTTGCGGAATAATTCTTTTTGATATTCTCTTGGTGTGTCCAGAACCAGTTTGTTGACTTGTTCATCTGAGGTTCTTGCGTTGTCGAAATAGATCATTTCTTTGGCGTTATTCGGGGCTGCAGTCCCGTCGGCTGCTTTTTTTAAGATCTTTTGCCACAAAGCTTTAACCTATAAAAATATGCAATGGCGCTTCACAATAATAGTATACTACTATTCTCTACTCTAAAGGTCTGGTAAGATGGAGCCGGACTGGCCCGGTTATGGTGGAATGGATGATTCGTTTAATAGGGCTCTTATCACGGCTTGGATAAAAATCCATAATGATATCATTTCAAAGTCGAATGGACCATTTGCATTATAGACTAAATTTTGATCTAGACAAAAATTTCATCACAGCTTGAAAGATCATCACAAAATTAGTAATATTCCAAAGTTTCGTTGCGAAATGTTGTAAAATGCAGATAATATAGCCATGCGAAGTTTGCCGTTTTTCAGTCATCTG